TGCATATTATTATATATTCCTGAAAATACTAAAATTGTGCAGAGCTGCTGGGTCAGCTCACCGAAAACATTGTAGCTGTGTGTCAGAATGCTAATGAAAATAAATGTTAGAACATTAGAATGTTTTAAAACATGAGTTTGTCGCAAGTAAATAACTATGGCCCGTTCGGGATCTTAAAACGAGGTGAACGGTGTGAAGGGATGGCGGAAGCTGCAGTGAGGTGGGCACAGTGAGGTGCGCAAAGGTTGGAGGGGGGCGCGTTTAGCATTTCCAGAAAGCTGCGGCCAGGCTGTGCCAAGAGGCAGAGCCGGGCTTGGATGGAGACTGCGTTCGGCGCTGTACGTGCAGTAGCTCCCTGCTCTCCGCCGAGTTAGCCTGTTCGGGGCTTGCCCGTTGTTATGTGGTGGTACAGAAAGCATAGTCTGGGCAAGGCCGTGTACTTGGGATTTTTATGTCATGCTAAGGCTGTTGCCCCTTTTTACCAATGAGCTTATTGGTTGTGCAGAAACGCTTTGTAACAGAATAGGCTATTCCAAGAGTCTAAGAGGTGGCCACTGTTTGTGTCTTAAGCTTGCTTGTAAGTCCGCGACCTTTTTTTGAATTGACTGTGTGTATATACGTATGTCGGAGAGAGGGCGGGAGGGGAGAGGGGAGAAGGGAGGGAAGGAGAGAAACGGAAGTACAACGGAAAGTATGTCAGTCCTATCTAGATAGTCATTTTCAGTGGCTACTAAATACTACATTGAATAGATGCGGTTTAGTTACCATTTCTCTGCTGAAGGGTACATAAGTTGCTGTAGTTTTTCATCATCTTTAATCTGTGGACATTTGACGGAGGAGGAAGAAGAAAGGGACTTTTTCTCTGTACATCGTCGTTTTATTAGAGTGGGTTGTTGGAATTGGTGGATCAAAGATTGTGAAATATTTGATAACTTTTGATATATACTGTCAGTTGGCTTTCCAAAATGGTCGCAGGTCCTTGTTCAAGTGGGTACATTATATGGTGCATACCTATAATCCCAGCACTCAGAAGACTGAGGAAGGAGGATTATGAGTTCAATACCACCCTGGACTACACAGCAAGATGCTGTCGCAAAACAAAACAAAAACAAAATTGTACATTACGTTTTTTTTTTTTTTCTGGTACCAGGAATCGAACGCACGACCTTGTACTTGCCAGGTAGGTGCTGTGCTGCTGAGCTAAATTCCCAGCCCTACATATGTTTTTAAACTATTACGAATTAGGCAAAAGCAAATATTGTTAGTACTAACATCTGTGCTTACTACTTACTAGGGCCTGTGCTTAAGTACATTTTGATTGATTGATTGATTGATTGATTGATTGATTATCTTTTTTGAGACAGGGTCTCGCTATGCAGTTCAGGCTGATCTTGAACTCGCTGTGCAGCCCAGGCTGCCCTCAAACTCAGGGATTCTTCTGCCTCAGCCTCCTGAGTGCTGGGATTACTGGCGTGCGCCACCACATTTTGGCTTTTTCACTTCCTTGATCATTAGTGAAGCTGACATTTTCTAGTACAGTATATTTATTTACTGTTTGTATATAATCGACCTAAAAGATCATTTGCCTTTTTATGCTTTGTGGCGGACTTAGTGCTCTAAGTGGGTAGTGTTCTGAAAGGGTTGTTTAGGAACAGTTCCTCTTTTTCCCTTAAAAATACAATGACAGCTCACATCTTAATAACAGGATGCTGGCTTCTCAGTGTCCACACTTGGTTTTTGTTTTGTTGTGTTCTGAGACAGGATCTCACTTCGTAGCGCAGGCTGGCCTGGAACTCAGGGCAGTCCTCCTGCCTCACTCTCCTGAGTGCTGGGGTTACAGGTGTGCACCGTCATGCCCAGCCATACTTGATTTTTAAACTTTCCTGGGATGCATACTTTGTGTAATTCTTTGGCAATTTTGCTACCAAACTATTGCTCTGCACATTATAGTAATGAAATTTTATTATGAACTTGTAGTTAATCACCAGGTGTGGTGCCTCACTCCCAGAATCCTAGCACTTGGGAGGCCGAGGCAGGAGGATCACCGTGAGTTTGAGGGCAGCCTGGGCTACATAGCAAGTTGAAGGTCAGCCTGCACTATATAATGAGACCCTGCCTCAAAAAAAAAAATCATATTTGCCATTATCTAAATTAGTGTTCAATGAGATTACTTAATCAGTAGTAGTTTATAAAGACTTTAACTCTTTTTTTTTAACAAGTACAGTGGCATTGCTAGAAATAGAAGTTTCTTAAAGAGATTTTGTACAACTTTAATGGACAAAAGACTTACATACTGAATTTAGCCAGGTTTATAATTTTGGCTGTACTTTTTATTAGCTTTAGAACCTTAGGCAGATGTTAACTCTCAAAGGCAGTTAATACAGCATTTGGTACAAAGGATATGTGGAATGAAAAAATATATATACATGGAGAGGGGGTGGGGGCACCAACCAAAAAATGTGTAAACCAGGAAAAGAAAAGCTTTGTAAATATTGCAATACTAAATTTGTTAGACATCATGGAATTAAAATATTACCTTTGGCCTCTATAAGAGGTGCCCAAGGTGGTGACCACCCACTTGCAGGCGTTTCCTGTATTAGTATGGCACTCTGCTGAAGTGTGTATGATGGACAGACAGACAGACAGACAGATAGATGATTTCAGTTACATACTGGACGTCAGTTGAAATATATTGTGTGTATATGTGTGAATTTTTATATATGTGGTTTTGATAATTGATTGACAGAAGAGCTAAATTTGTTATAGTTTAGTCTTTTCCTTTCTATGATGTGCTGATGTTTTAAGTTACTGGTCAGCATGAGAGAAAACCGGGCTGGATATGAAGAGAATGCTGGTAATACTCTAAATGAGTAGGAGTTAAGTCGTCGTTCCGATAGGGGATGTGTTCTTAACGTGGTCAGCGTATACGCTGACTAGAGGTTGGTGCTACAGTTAGTCTGTCTGGGTTTAAATTCCAGTATTTCCACTTAGTAGCCAGGCAACAAGCAAGGTGTTTAACCTGAGTCCTTTCTCATGTCTGCAGAGATTCATAATAGTGCCTGATTCACAGTGTTTAATCGATGGTTAATTGAGATGTGGTATGTAAAACGCTTAACAGGCCAGCCACACCCTGAAGCATTGTGCTGTTACTGAGTATTCTGAGACTGCATGTAGTAATAACTACTGAAATCCAGATAGACAGCCAGAGTCCACCAGTTCTTAGAATTCTTGAGTGACATGTCAGGTGTGTTAAGCAGATGAAATTCTGAAGGCACTTCTCCCCATTTTAGTTACGTAAACATGTGCAGAGTGCATAGGATGGTAGAAGGTTTTTCACTGAATTTAGAACTAAGTTATCTCCATGAGCCATTGAAAACGAAATGGCGTGTTAATTCTGTTACTTTCCTCTTTGGTCGGTTATTTTCCCATGATGTTTTCTTTTCTGTTTTTTAAATGTGTATTTCTGAAAACAGAACAAAAATCATTTCAGAAACTAGAAATAAAATAGTTTTTCTCGCTCTCCTTGGCAATGCAGTGGCAGTTCGAACCTCAGACGGTGCCAGCCTTGAAATACATGTCCGCGCTTAGTGAGGTGACCCAGCGCACACTTAAAGTGCTGGAAGTTGCCGGCTGCACTGGCGCGTGCTTGCTCTCCCAGCATTCAGGGAGACTGCAGCAGGAGGGTCCATGTGAGCTCAAGGCTGCGCTAGTCGGCATAGTGAGTTCCAGGCCAGCCTGAGCTGCATAGCCAGACCCTGTCAAAAAAAAAAGGAAACAAAAGAGGAATAAGAGATGTTGCTGTGTTGAAGTCATAGAAATAGCACAGTGGTGGTGACCGGTGCTGTGGGGGAGGGGCTTGGAGGGGGCGTCAAGCCTGGACGGAGGGGAGATGTTAGTCCGAGCCCTGTTGCACAGCGTGGTGACTGTACCGAATGACTCTACTTCAGAATTGCTGAAACATTAGATTTCAAGGGTTCTTGCCATAAAGTAGTGAGAAGTGTGTGCGGTCTGGGTGTTTTCCTTTAGTTTGATGTATTGTGTAATGTATACACTAGCATAATATCACATTGTAATCATAAATATATACAATTATTTGTCAATTTAAAATAATAATTTGAAAACAAATTCATCTGTGTAATATGCTTTAAAAATACTAGAAATGGTGTGGTTTTTTTCATTCTTATGACAGTAAGGATCACATTCAGGTCACTGTTCCACCATGTACTGACACTAGCAGTTGCTCTTTAAATTTGACTCACAGACAGGGTCTTGCTAAGTCGGCCAGGCGGGCCTTGAACTCATGAGCCTCCTGCTTCAGCCTCATGGGTAACTGGAAGGTTTGTCTTCTTAACAGTAAATATTTCCGGGGCTGAGGATTTAGCTCAGCAGCACAGCGCCTGCCTGGCAAGCATGAGGTTGTGAGTTCGATTCCCGGTACCAGAAAAAAACCAAAACCAAAAAAAAAGAGATGGTGGTGGTGGTGGTTGCACAATATTATTATTTAATACCACTGGAACTGTATACCTAAAATGATTAAGATGTTTGATTTTACATGTATTTTAGTACAATTTTTTCTAAA